AATACATAAATAAAAAAGATGCTTTACCACCACATTAAAATAACAAGGGTGCCTTGGAAGAAAACCATTCACCACTGGACATTCATTTTTTCTATTTTTGTGTGTGTGTCCCATCAAATCGGATCTGACTGGTCCAGGAAGAGATTGCCCCTCCTTCTCCAGCAGAGCATCTGGTGGATTTGAACCGCGTCCCTCTAGGATTGCAGTGCAATGTCTTGCCACTAGGCCACCAGAGCTCCCTTGGAAAGACAATTCTTGATTGAAAACCCTTGAGAAGTAGAGTATTGCTCTACAAAGACACCTACAGGTTGACCAGGTAGCAACAGGGCTCACTGCAAATCCAGAACTAACTCACCTCAGAGCCTCCTTCTACCACCTTAAGCCCAGAAGGGGGCCCAGTTATATCATGATCCCATCTCAGGTCAGGGGATCCTAATACAACTGAGACGGGCGGGAGGCACGCTACACCCCCTCCTAGCATCCTTCAACATTTCATCCAGACAGTTCTTAGGAGCTCTGTGGATGTGTTTAATGGCACAGGGAAGCTGGAAAGGCCCAAGACCTGGTTGAAAAGATAGAAAACGGAAGGAGAAAGGGAAGGAGCTCGCTGTCTAGGGTTGACCTTTGACAATGCAAAATTTCAAAGACACCTATCTCATTTCTTCTCGGGGACCGAAGCAAGTGCTCATTATACATGCATTCTGGTAAGGAATACTTCCACCGAAAACGTTTAGGAAGAAAAGGAAAGGTTTAGGGGTGAAAAGTTGGAAAGGAAAGGTGGAAATCATTCTAAATTATTCTTCTCTATATAGGGAATGGGGTGAATTATTTGTTTAACAGAAGACTTCAAAATAAAAAGAGGGAAGCTGGGACAAAAGTATAAATGAGGATTGATAGAATATTAGTAGGAGGGAGAGATGTAGAGAATCTGGGAAAGGAGGATGGTATGGGCGAGACTGAGATAGATGGGTCACAGGAGCCCTGTTCTAAACAACACGCCTCCAGAAACTCTGTGAACGTTGATCAATGTTCATAGTTGTAGAAGGGCTTCAGGCCTTTTGTTCACTGGGTCGCTATGCATCGTGAGAGGCAATCTACAACAACATCACCAGTGGAACTCTCCTAACTCCAAATGAGGCAACTGTCCCCCTGCCCACCGCTTTGGAAGATCCACAGTCTACAAGCAATTCCCTTGAGGCACACCTGTGCTCTTGCACCCTCTCAGACCCCAACCCTGCAGCTCCCCTGCCTGACCCAACCACAGGACCTTGCTCACTCCAGCCCCACAAAGCCTTACACAGTTATGTCAACAGGATGCAAATCTTAAGCCTCAATCCTTCTTAATCCAGGTCCCCCAATGAGCCTGGGCCAATGGCTCCCTCACGGCAGCCCCAGGGCTCCTGTGACCCTAAGAGGCCTCTGTTATGGTAGATCCAACGCTGAGGACATGTGTGAACTCTGGCTTCTTCCAGGATGAGAGGGAAGGAAAAGGCAGCATGTCAGCCACCGGCCAATCGCATCCATCGACAATACGTGCTTCATTTGCATGCAACCAACTTGGGTAAGCCAAGGCCAAAGACACACTGAGGACTAACCGCCTCTGAAAAACTCCCCAGAGGGTGAGTTTATAACAAACAACAAGAGCACAGCTGGAGGGGAGCTCTGGTGGCCTAGTGGCAAG